GTCGAGTGGGGTCGACAATCGTTGGCGATGGCCTTTGGCCCAGAGGATGTAACTTCAACTGTCGTTAAAGCGTTATCCATCGTCGTCGAGCGGGGTCGACGATCATTGGCGATGGCCTTTGGCCTAGAGGATGTAACTTCAACTGTCATTGAAGCGTTATCCGTCGTCGTCGAGCGGGGTCGACGATCATTGGCGATGGCCTTTGGCCCAGAGGATGTAACTTCAACTGTCGTTGAAGCGTTATCCGTCATCGTCGAGCAGGGTCGACGATCATTGGCGATGGCCTTAGCCGCTTACATAATGGAGTTGGTGGCCTTAGCCGCTTACATAATGGAGAAGGTGGCCTTAGCCGCTTACATAATGGAGTTGGTGGCCTTAGCCGCTTACATAATGGAGTTGGTGGCCTTAGCCGCTTACATAATGGAGTTGGTGGCCTTAGCCGCTTACATAATGGAGACTCAACTAGGCTAGTCCCTTTATTATATCGGCCTGGAGAACGCGTCGACTGGCCGGTATGATAAACCTGTCTCCATACGCCCCTGGGTGTCCCCTTCGCCGCCTCGTTAAAAACCTCCCCGAGAAAACCCAATTGGGACAAAACTCAGGTAAGGGAAAAAGAGTACGACTCGGGAGACGCCCCTTAAAAATGGAAGTACTTGAGGTGGGCGATGTTCCAGTTGTTTTGGAGTATTTTTCCCTCCATTGTTTCCAACTGGAATGCCCCTTTGCCTGCATCTGCTGTGATTTTATATGGCCCGCTCCAATTGGTGCCCAGTTTCCCTTCGCTTGGGTCTTTTGACGCCAAAGTTTTGGCTTTGAGGACGTAGTCGCCTACTTTGAGCGGTCGTATTTTAGCTTTTCTGTTGTAATACCTTTCGGCCTGTTGCTTTTGAGCCGTCATTCTTATGTGGGCCATATCCCTTCATTCTTCTGCCTCGTCGAGGTCTTGAAGCCTACCTATGTCGTTGTCCGCTCCGCTGGTATGTGAATATCTCAGGCTTGGTTCTCCGATTTCGACTGGTATAACCGCGTCGGTTCCGTAGACCAGTGAGTACGGTGTTTCTCCTGTGCTGGATTTGGGCATTGTCCGGTATGCCCACAGTACCTCTGGTAGTAATTCGGGCCAGAGTCCTTTGGCTTCTTCGAGTTTCTTCTTCAGTATGTTTAATATTATTTTGTTGGAGTATTCTGCTTGGCCGTTGGCGGCGGGGTGATATGGCGTGGAGGGTATCCGTTTGATGTGCCATTTGTCAAAGAACTCCGTTATCTTTTTGCCGATGAATTGGGGGCCGTTATCGCAGCTGATTTCTTTGGGGATGCCGAAACGGCATATGATATTTTTCCATATGAAGGCGATGACTTCTTGTTCGCGTATTTGGGCGTACGCACCTGCTTCTACCCACTTGGAGAAATAGTCAGTCAAAACTAACAGAAATCGTACCTTTCCTCGTCCTGCTGGTAGGGGACCGATTATGTCCATCCCCCATTTGATGAAGGGCCAAGGTGATGTTACTGAGTGTAGGGGCTCTCCCGGTTGATGTATCATGGGGGCGTATGTGCGCCACAGTGGCCCTCGTGTACCTCTTCGAGTACTTGCCTTGTTTGGTGTGGCCCCAAGCACTTAGCGAGGGGTCCGCCAAACGTTCTTTTGTACAAATCGTGACTTATTAGGCAGTATCGGGCGGCTTGTACGCGGAGCTTTTTGGCTGCTTTTTTGTCGAGCGGGAGTGTCCCGTCCTGCAGATAAGAGATAAACTGGTTGCGCCAGTCCCAAGTTAGATTTAAAGAGAGTACCTCAGTGTGATCTATGGCTGAATGGAGGAGGGTGACTATGTTTCCCTTGTTGATGTTTTTGGTGGCTGCAGCCAATTTGGCTAGGCCGTCTGCTTCGACGTTCTGCGCCCTCGGGATTTGTTCCAGGCGGCATTCGTCGAACTCGGGCATCAACTTGTGAATTTCTGATTGATATTTCTGCAGTCTCTATTCCTTGATCTGGTAAGTCCCGGTGACCTGGTTTACCACGAGTTGAGAATCGCAATGGAGGATGAGTCGTCGGGCTCCGTACTTGATGTCCAACTTCATACCTGCAA